TTGATGAAATCAAATTAATGGATGTACTTGAAATGCTGGGTGTCTTGATGGCGATCCGTGATGTCACACTTTCAATAGATATTGTTGGTGTAAAGATTTTTGGCTTGAATGGCCGTATATGGCTTATATACCTCCATCCACTTCTGTTGAAGTCTTTGAGACATTTTTGGAGCGGCTCCAAACATTGAACTATCTTGCCAATGACCCTATTATGGTTTTGGGTAACTTTAATGTTCTAGTGTCTAGTGTTACTCTAGTTTTATTTGTTATTCAGCGCTTTTATTGAGCTATAACTGATACTGATAGACTTTTTTAGGACTGTATGTAGACTTAATTGTGTCCCTGTATTATAATCAGATTCATTAACAATAAAATCAGAAATCACTTCACAATTATTAACCGCTAATATACCTTTTCGGCTTGATTGCCATTCATTATATCTACAGGGTGTCCAAATTTCAATGGATTTGCAGGGTATCTCAGTTATTATGAAAGATAGAAAGTTGCGGCTTTCACGAACTTGAGCTACTTTTTTGTGAAACTTACAATGGCGCAAACCAAATTTTCATAGCCCCCTTTGTTTTTAATATACAGGGAGTGTTTCAAAATTTACGATTTTCAGACACCTCCTGTATCTCGGCTATCCGGAAACGTAAAAACGGGTTCTAATAGATTTTTTCACGTAGAATCCAATGGTGCACGTAGAATTTTTCTAGTCATCACGGTTTTTGAATTATAAAGAGTTAAGTATTTTAGAAGTTGAGTATTCAGTATTTGAGTTGTGTTTATTACTCAAAAACCGTGATGACAAGAAAAATTCTACGTCCACCATTGAATTCCACGTGAAAAAAATCTATTAGAACCCTTTTTTACTAAGTTTCCGGATAGCCGAGATACAGGAAGATATCAAAAACGAAGAGGGCTATGAAAATTTGGTTTGCGCCATTGTAAGTTTCACAAAAAAGTAGCTCAGGTTCGCGAAAGCCGCAACTTTTTATCTTTCATAATAACTGAGATATCCTGCAAACCCATCGAAATTTGGACACCCTGTGCAATACTATTTTTCCATTTTGATATATTCATATATCTTACAATTGTTATCATTACTATATATCTATTATTTTTTGTATATTACTAGATTTGTATTTTTTTTTGTATTCCTGTAATTGGGTGGAGACCTGTTGGAATAAAGTATTTATTATTATTATTATATGCTAAACTCCACAAAATTACCTTATACAGGGTGTCCGCCGGGAAGGTATACTTTGTTTGTTTATAATTTTTGATTAAATGAAAGAGAATGGATCTTATATTGATAAATGTTTTATTTAATGTCGGCAATTATGTATGGAATACAATATCAGATAAATGTCTGCCTTTGTTAGCCTCACAAATGCGAGCCCTTTTGAGCACATTTTTCATTACATTCTCATGGGCAAAAGCTCATGAGAATGTAATGCTCGATGTTACAGCTCGTCATGGGCGAGCTGTAACATCCTATTGGCATATGTACGGCGGCGTAAATGGTCTTCTGGAAGACGCTCTTGTGCCAACTGAATCTTAAATGGAAATAAATGCAAATCCTTGTGCAAAATTGTGGCCAAAGTTGTTCTTTGAAGACCAAGCTCTTGAGCACGGCGTCGAATTGAGGTTGATGGATTGTTTTGATCACTTTCTTGAGCAGCAGTAATGTTTTCAGCCGATCTTGCAGAAAGTCCAAGATAGATCTTGTTGTTTTCTTGTGGTCCATGCTTGGGCCTATCTCTGTTTTCGAACGTAACTTTCTCATCGTCACAGTAATCGATGATTGATTTTGATAAAATGTTTTAACGATTAAAACACGTTGGTTTACCGAATATTTTTCCATAATAAATTTGCCACGTCTCACACAGGCGAATTTTTTAAAAATTTTGGCCAAAATTGGTAAAATTGAAGGAATAAGATTGAAAATGCAATTATTGCTATTTGATTAAGTAAACCCCAAGGTGCCTTGAAACACCTTCTTTATAATTATTGTAACAATCGCCGCCAAAATATTTTAGTTGTCAATTGATTGTTTAGTAAACAGTTATCACCTAGGTAANCATCACGGTTTTTGAGTTATAAAGAGTTAAGTATTTTAGAAGTTGAGTATTCAGTATTTGAGTTGTGTTTATAACTCAAAAACCGTGATGACTAGAAAAATTCTACGTGCACCATTGGATTCCACGTGAAAAAATCTATTAGAACCCTTTTTTACTAAGTTTCCGGATAGCCGAGATACAGGAAGATATCAAAAACGAAGAGGACTATGAAAATTTGGTTTGCGCCATTGTAAGTTTCACAAAAAAGTAGCTCAGGTTCGCGAAAGCCGCAACTTTTTATCTTTCATAATAACTCAGATATCCTGCAAACCCATCGAAATTTGGACACCCTGTACAATACTATTTTTCCATTTTGATATATTCATATATCTTACAATTGTTATCATTACTATATACCTATTATTTTTTGTATATTACTAGATTTCTATTTTTTTCTTTTTGTATTCCTGTAATTGGGTGGAGACCTGATGGAATAAAGTATTTATTATTATTATTATTATATGCTAAACTCCAGAAAATTACCTTATACAGGGTGTCCGCCGGGAAGGTATTCTTTGTTTGTTTATAATTTTTGATTAAATGAAAGAGAATGGATCTTATATTGATAAATGTTTTATTTAATGTAGGCAATTATGTATGGAATACAATATCAGATAAATGTCCGCCTTTGTTAGCCTCACAAATGCGAGCCCTTTTGAGCTCATTTTTCATTACATTCTCATGGGCGAGCTCATGAGAATGTAATGCTCGATCATGGATGTTACAGCTCGTCATGGGCGAGCTGTAACATCCTATTGGCATATGTACGGCGGCGTAAATGGTCTTCTGGAAGAAGCTCTTGTGTTAACTGAATCTTAAATGGAAACAAATGCAAATCCTTGTGCAAAATTGTGGCCAAAGTTGTTCTTTGAAGACTAAGCTCCTGATCACGGCGTCGAATTGAGGTTGATGGATTGTTTTGAACACTTTCTTGAGCAGCAGTAATGTTTTCAGCCGATCTTGCAGAAAGTCCAAGATTGATCTTGTTGTTTTCTTGTGGTCCATGCTTGGGCCTATTAGCTACAGTCCTTCTTAGTCACAGTAACCGATGATTGATTTTGATAAAATGTTTTAACGATTAAAACACGTTGGTTTACCGAATATTTTGCCATAATAAATTTGCCACGTTTCTACTTCACGACTGCCAAATATGAACTGTCAAGACTAATGTTTACCAAAATGGCGGCAAAACAAAAGCTTTGTTCGTTGGGACTGCACTACTCTGCACGACATGGCACTCGTATACTGTGTTCTCTAATACAACAAATATTAATTATTATAAGGTTTTATTTCTTAATATTTAATATTAATATTAATTATTACAAAACACGCTTTCAAATATTCCGCCATTTTAGTTACACTGCACTTATTGAACTTAATCGAAAGCAGGTGCAACAAAATCTGCACTAACTTGCACTGGCTGCACTAAATTGCACTGCACATGGCCCTGCACATGGAACAGTATGAGTGCAACTGCACTAAACTGCACTATCCCCAACGAACACACAACATCTGCACTAAACTGCTTAGTGCAAGTGAGTGCAAGTAGTGCAGTCCCAACGAACAAAGCTAAAGTAGTATACCTTCCCGGCGGACACCCGGTAGTTTAATACGGCAAGTTAAGGTGATATACACACAATAAAAGAAAAATTAAAGTACACTACGATACCACTGAGGATATTCCAGTTTCCCGTTTTTCAAAACGTAAAAAAAAACAATATGACGATTTCTACAGAAAGAACCAAAACATTAGTGATGTCTAAAGAGCTTCAAAGATGCAAGCTGGAGCTGAAAGGTAATGATCATAATGTCATTGAACAGGTTGTCTAGTATCTTAGAGTCTAAATTTGAAGCAGTCACAACGTAAGGAGACACAAAACCATGCGATAAAGACCTTATAAATCGCAAGGTGAATCAGGCAAGCATTTTGAAGAAGAAAATATATATAAGTAGAGAGGACAGTCAAAGTATACAAGACTAGTGCTAACCTACGGAACAGAGAGCGGTGTAGAAACATAGAGAAGAACAAAGCAGAAACTAAGGGAAACTAGGATCGATCATAGGATGTTCTTTACAAGACCGATAAACAAACAAACAAGACGATAAAAGGAAGATGCAGCATACAGGACATTGGCAAGTGTGCTTAGGACAGAAGACCGAATAACTAAAAATAAGAAAAAAATAGAAGTCGTAATCTAAGAACAAGAAGAAGCGTTTTTTTTCAAAACAACATTTTAGCAACTGGTTCACGAAACGTCTGTTTTATACATTTATATTTAAGTCCGCTCATAAAAGAAGTTCTCTCTTTATAAAAAAAAAAATGTTACATTTCGTTTTTTTTCTAACCCATAGATTTAATACTCCACTTGAGAAGATTTAAAACAGACTTTTTGAATAAACAGATCAATTTTAGTTTAATAGAGAATGATGAAGACACGTGAAAATTACGCTTAAATTCACGTGCCTCAGATTCGTTGACCTTTTAAAGGTCAGTCTAACGTTTAATGTGACGTAAGTGTCAGAATAACATATTAATCGTAATTGTTAAATTGTTTTTTTTTTTGTTTGACTTTTATTTATTTTATATTTAATTTATTTATACTGTTGTTTATAATTGGTTAGAAAAACCTTTAAAAAAGAATGAAATAGGTTTTTTATTGAAAATTAAACATCCGGCTCAGTTGATGTGGTCATTTTAAGATTTAATGAATTCACCTTGAGAAAAAATTTAAAATACAATAAAGTCGTTATTAATTTTTTGAATTTTGTAATTATATACTAGAATTTGCTAGTTGAAATAGTTGGTACACTTGGAAAATCACTAGAATCTTCGACGCATGTTCCATTCGTTACCCCCATAAAGAGAGTTGTTTTCCTGCGTCAGTTCGCCGACTAACTCTGTCCAGAATGCACCTCCCAGTTTCCACTAAATCTTGTCCTTTATCGATTATCTCTCCTTCATGGACTGTTTTTCTCAAACACGCCATAAATTACAACGTTTAAACATCCCAGTATAAATATTAGTGTAAACTCGCATTTTTTTCTAAAATTACATAAATATAGTGAAATTGAAACACCATGGAAGGTAACGTTAAATCGAAATAAAAAAAGACTAGTTCACTTGTTGCTAAAGTAGGTTTAAAAAATGTATTGAAGTTGTGTAAGACATTTTCTAGAATAATTAATAAAATTTTTATATAACAATATATTATAAATATTTAAAACTGTATTATATGAATTTGAGTATTTCTGATAATTCATTTTCAAGGTCGTATTATGGCTTTGTCTACATAATTAACTATATTGACGTTAACGATTATTTCATCGATCTCTTTCTAAAAAGATTAAAATTTATTGTTTTTGGTTAGTTCATTGAAATAAAATATGTTGGCTGTATAAAAAAATTTAATACTAAATTTCTTTTTTAAAGGAATCCCAATTTCAACGGGAATGTCTTCATCAATGGAATTCCTTAAGCAGACGGAAGGTGACCTGTTCTTTAACGATGAGGCGCTGCAGGAGGACAACCTTTCGGCACTGAACATGATGAGAAAAAATCGTCATTTCTGTGACGTTATTCTTCACGTATGTGCACTGACTGTAAACGGTGGCGATTTCCAATATTCGAAAAACCATATAATAATTTCAAAATCAAAATTTAAATAAAAAAAAAACTAAATAAAAATATGGTTGGTCGAAATTTGTTGGAAATTTGTTATAGTTATAGTCAGAGACACTACTGGGTGCCGTGTTCATCATAAATGAAATATTTTTGACCAGTAGTGAGTAGCTTTTAGCATTTCTTGTAATTTATTTTAACAAAAATGAAACATGCGGTTGTCGCTATATGAAAATTGGTGCGTGTTTGTATAAGTTAAAATATTATTTTTATTTTTTTGAATATACGATTTTTGTCGTATTTATATTAGCTACTTACTACAAAATCAACACTTTAAAAAATCAATTCGAATCAATATTCATCGAAATTAATTAAATATTGATTCTAATTTTTAATCCTTTTAAATTAAGTTCGCCCAAAATTTATAAATACGATAAAAACATCCAAAATTAATAAATCTGTGTAATTACAGAAACGTTCGCAAACGCACGAATAAAGCGAAAAAAGCTTAGGTAATACATTCGCCAGTCGGCATACTTCTTTGTATGTGTCTAAAAAGCGAAGAACGTTTTAATTTTTTTACTATTTTTACAGAGGCAACGTGAATTATAGGTTATTGACGGTAACCTCTTTTCTTTTTTATTTTGTCCTTTTATTTTTTCTTTTAATAATCGTCCCGATTTATACGTTCTATTTATGAAAACGCAGCGTTTATCAATATTTCACAAGCTTTTTATTCCACAGATTGGTACAGTTGAAATACACGCCCATCGCGCCATACTCGCCAGCGTATCTCCGTATCTCTTCGAATTATTCTCCACGGATCATGAAAAACGGATCGAAAACATCGTTACTTACAAACTTAATGGGGGATTTGATAAATCTGCCTTTCAAATCTTGGTTGATTATGCTTACACGGGACACCTCCAGGTTCCTACAAATCAAGTAAGAATATTTTATACCTTTCTTATGACTTAAAATAAATTATTTTATGAATAATTTAGGTAAAAGCGGTGTATATTGCGTCGTGTCATTTAAAAATCGATCGCGTTGCGAGGAAATGCGCCCAATACTTAATAAACCATCTCTCTGTTGAGAATTGCATAGAAATTCGTTCGTTACCAGGAATAGCAAAAAATAAAGAATTTATACATCAAGTTGATAATTTCATTGCTAACAATGTAAGAATTAACATGTTTTAATCTTCAAGAATTAAACAAAATTCTTTTATAGTTTGATCAAATAAATCAAAGTTCTTACCTTATTAATCTTTATTGCGCAAGAATTGAAGTTTTAAACCAAACCAAAGAAGAAATGTCTTTGGTAAATTCCAGCTCTTTATGTCGTCTTGTACTCGAATGGATCAGAAGGCAAATAACCGAAGATAATTTAAGTCTCGCCACTCTTTCAGAAAATACCTTCATGCTTTATTTAGCCATAGATAATTCTCTTCAAGATTGTAACAGCCTACCAAACGGTAACTAATCATTAACTTAATTATTATAACTAACTCAAAATTATTTCAAATAATTTAAAGGTGATGTTTGCAATACGGAAATCGTACAAGACTACAAAAAGCTCTCTTCGAAAAACGTTGGTTCAGCCAACAAAATCAAGCGGAAACAATTAAGTCAGCCCAGTAAGCCGCGCGTGTTGATTTATTCCCGGGAAATCGGCGAAGAATTAGAATCGGAAATGGAGCCGCATTGGACGTTGATCGCAACATCAAAAGTTGCGGAACACAGCTATGTCGCATTGGTAACGTTAGCTGGAAAATTAGCTAAGCTTTCGATTCAGTTGAGGCTTAATATCCCAACAACGCCATCCCCGGTTGCTACACCAGAAGCCAACAAGAATTCCAACGAGGATAAACCTGATTTATACTACACTTTGGCTAATATGTCTTGCCCTAGGTGTGGCGTTGGTTGCGGTAATCTCAACAATACTTTAATTGTGTGCGGTGAGCTGCTTTTAATTTTACTAATAATCAATTTTTTTTTTGAGTATATACAGGGTGTGTCAAATGTCTGGAATATAGCCAATAACTCAGACATTTGTGGTTTTAAAGAGAAATGTTTCAAATAAATTTTTTTTTATTGATTGTGGCGCATTTTTTGACTGTATTTGCTTGTTTACATTGTTTCGTTGCTATGGCAACCAACATTGTTATTTTAAATGGGATTCATATATTTTTTTTGCATACTTTTATTCCTCTATGTGATGAATGATGAACATATTAAATCATGTAGTTGTATAAGAAAAAAATGAGAGAAAAAATGCGTTTTTTGAATGTCAAATCAGCTAATTACAATCAAAGTAGGCGCCGAAATAACGCCGTTGACAGCTTTAAGTGTCAAAAAAATTACAGCTGCAACAATTATCAATAATTAATAATGTATGGTAAATGGTAACTGTTTTTGGCCATCAACTTTTTGAAAGGTTTTAAGTCACTTCCGGTGTTAAAATTTTTTTTTTTAATATTTTGGTCACAAATTACACAGTCCACAGTAGTGTAATTTGTGTATCCGGGTAAATATTATTGAACAGTGTACCCATCCATCGTACCCATACATTATTAACCCGTCCTATGTAAACCTGGGTATTTCCTGTCCAAACTACAACTGTTTAGGCAAATAATTTCTTCATTTCATATAAATAAATATGCATGCAAAAATTAATTTTTCGATAATTTTATGACTGATTTATCAACTTGAAGGTTTCGAGCATCATCATGAATTGTTTATTTTTTTGAGTGCATTAAAAGGATGAAAAAAACGGCCGGACCCGAAAGACCCACCTTTACAGACGGAAGGTGCTAAAAAACCGTTTACAAACGAAGGGTTAATATTTGGAATCTTTGTCGTTCGCTTAATTGCGCCATATTTGTTTAAACTGTCAGTTTTTTGACATTTAAAGCGTTATTTCGGCGCCTACTTTGATTGTAATTAGCAGATTTAAGACTTTCAAAAAACGCGTTTTTTCTCGATTTTTTTCTTACACAACCATATAATTTGATATGTTCATCATATAGAGGGACTTATCCTTTATCAAAGTATGCAAAATAATATATGCATCCCGTTTAAAATAACAACGTTGGTTGCCATAGCAACGAAACAAAAACAATACAAACAAGCAAATATCGCCAAAAAATGCACCATGATTAATAAAAAAACTTGTATTTGAAACATTTTTCTTTAAAACTACGAATAGCGAAGTTATTGGCTTTATTCCAGACATTTGACAAACCCTGTATAAAGCTTTTTTTACATTTCACGTAGTTTTTTTTTGAGTTTCATATATAATTTTAATGTTTTTAATATTATGTTTTACTGGTGTCTACAATCGTATCCTTTCTAAGGTGATAAGGATATATTTAAACTCGAGAGATTTTTTTTTAAGATCATGTTAAACTCTTTAATATTAAATGTCATTTTGAATTTTGAGAAAAACTCACTACATTATTCTCATCTTTGTCTCTCCTATGCGATATATCCAAGAAGATCAATCTGTTTCGTCTGCAGTATTATTCGAAGTAATCAAAGCGAATTATTATAACAATAAATAAAGTTTCCATAAACAGTGTAAACTTCAAAATTCTTCATGTTTCGTAATCATATCCTTATCACTATTGTTATTGTTATTAAACAACGAAGGGGCCTTGTACAAGTGAACTCATTTCATGGTTTTATAATAAGATGTTTATTACTATTTATAACAATAAAATTATTAAAATTATGGCGGAGAAACTAGAAGTTACATTGTTACATTTAGTTAGGATTTATGATGTTCCTACCCAACAATTATAAACCTGGAGCGCTGAGGTTTGTCTTCAAATACAAGTACAATTTATGATATTTATATAGTTTCCCATATTTCTGGTGGGTTTTATGACCCTCAGAAACAGTAGTGGTAGTAATTATCACCCGGAAAAGTACCTGGACGTGATTTATGATAGGACCTCCTAGAGCAGCGTTTCTTAATCTTTTTAGACCTGCGGACCTGTAGAATTTGTCCAAAAATTGCGCGGACCGGTCAATTATTTTGAACAAAAAGGTATTAATGAACTACTATTATAATTAAAAGGAAAATGAATATAGATCAACTTCTCACTCGCTTGTTTTATTTACGCGATACTAGTTTCGGCTTATAAAGCCATCATCAGTCGAATCTATGATTAAAAAGGATTACAAATTTGTTTTTTGTTGAACATTTTTTTGTTTTTTATATAAAATACTTACAGTCAAGTTGAAAAACTGTTTTTCTTAGAAACGTGAAATCTCATAAAGGTTTTATGAGTTTAGTGTTATAATACAATAACCTTATATGTAAATAAAGTAACTAAATTATAAAACAACACAGATACACGAACTTATAAACTTACAATTAAAACGTGTGTAACTTCCTTTTTTATTATATTTTAAATTAAAAACACTTAAACAGTATTTCGAGAACTAATTATTGTTTACATTCGAAAAATACAAATTTTACATAAATTGTTATATTTTTACACAAACTAATGGTATTTAAGTTTTTAAATATTACGTTTTTGTAATTTAATAATACAAAACTTGTTAACAAACTTTGTTTAGAATTACTTCAGGAACAGTGTTTGTTAATACAATTTTTTGCTAACTTGAAATTTTAATTTCCCTCTGAATAGTATTGTATCGAAATTAATTATCTCGATAATTATTGTTTTTATCAAAAAATGTTTTAAACAAAATTTATTTCAATTTCGATTTTGAACCAATTATCTTAATAAAAAAATTTTACATCTCTATTAATTAAGCATCTAAGTGTAATTATGTGTAAAAATGAAAAAATTATTATTTTGATGTTATCTCCTTAATTATTGATTAAATCAAAAAAAATTGTTGATAAAGTTTGTTTAGAATTGCTTCAGGAACAATTTTTGTTAACACAATTTTTTTCTAACTTGAAATTTTAATTTCCCACTGAACAGTATGCTACAAAAATTAATATTTTTGAGGTTATATCCTTATTGTTGATTTAATCAAAAAATGTTGTTAACAAAATTTGTTTAGAATTACTTCAGGAACAGTGTTTGTTAATACAATTTTTTGCTAACTTGAAATTTTAATTTCCCTCTGAATAGTATGCTATCAAAATTAATTATCTCAATAATTATTGTTTTTATCAAAAAATGTTTTAAATAAAATTTGTTTCAATTTCGATTTTGAATCAATTATCTTAATAAAAAATTTTTACATCTCTATTAATTAAGCATCTAAGTGTAATTATGTGTAAAAATGGAAAAATTATTATTTTGAGGTTATTTCCTTAATTATTGATTAAGTCAAAAAAAATTGTTGATAAAGTTTGTTTAGAATTGCTTCAGGAACAATTTTTGTTAACACAATTATTTTCCAACTTGAAATTTTAATTTCCCACTGAACAGTATGCCACAAAAATTAATATTTTTGAGGTTATATCCTTATTGTTGATGTAATCAAAAAAAGTTGTTAACAAAATTTGTTTAGAATTACTTCAGGAACAGTGTTTGTTAATACAATTTTTTGCTAACTTGAAATTTTAATTTCCCTTTGAATAGTATGGTATCAAAATTAATTATCTCGATAATTATTGTTTTTATCAAAAAATGTTTTAAATACAATTTATTTCAATTTCGATTTTGAATCAATTATCTTAACAAAAAATTTTTACATCTGTATTAATTAACCGTCTAAGTGTAATTATGTGTAAAAATGGAAAAATTATTATTTTGAGGTTATCTCCTTAATTATTGATTAAATCAAAAAAAATTGTTGATAAAGTTTGTTTAGAATTGCTTCAGGTACAATTTTTGTTAACACAATTATTTTCTAACTTGAAATTTTAATTTCCCACTGAACAGTATGGTACAAAAATTAATATTTTTGAGGTTATATCCTTATTGTTGATGTAATCAAAAAAAGTTGTTAACAAAATTTGTTTAGAATTACTTCAGGAACAGTGTTTGTTAACACAATTTTTTTCTAACTTGAAATTTTAATTTCCTACTGTACAGTATGTTCTTTTAATCAAGATTTTCTCAACGAACGCCGCTAAAAACGAGTGGAGGGGGAAAATCGTATTGTTTTGTTACAAAAGTTCCGTGCCCTGCTTATTATAGATGTTTTGAATTTTTATAATAAATATGTATTTAATACATATTTATACATACAGGTTGTTATATTTATACATACAAGTTTGTTAATGCGGATCTGAAAAACTCACGCCAGAGTTTGGGGTTCGTAAACTACCTGAATATAATCCCGTTTTTGTTCGTTATATGACTCCAATTAAGTCGTAAAAACCACCAGAAATATCGAAAAAAGTAAAACATAATATTGAATATTTTTAATTAATATTTCCTTCATTATTTAATAAATAAATTTTTATAGGTGGTTACGATAGAGTTGAATGTCTTCGAACTGTAGAACAATACATTCCAGAAACAAATAAATGGGTTTCACTTCCGTCAATGAGACAAGGAAGAGGTCGCTTCCAAATAGCCATATTATCCTCAAAAGTATACGCAATCGGTGGTAGTAACGGTTTGTCCGAATTAGATACGGTCGAAATGTTAGATTTGGACGCAAAGAAATGGGTAAATCTCCCCAAATTGTCTTTGGCCAGAAGTTTTATTGGAGTGAGTTCTTTGGATGGTCAAATTTATTGTGTTGGCGGTTGGAATGGGCAAGTTGGCACGAAACAATGCGACGTTTTTAACCCGAAAACTGAGAAGTGGTCAAACGTGGCTCCGTTGAACGTAGGACGATATCAAGCGGGAGTTACCGCATTAAATGGATTATTGTATGTTATCGGCGGTTGCGATTCTTGGAATTGTTTGTCATCGGTTGAAGTTTATGATCCGAAAGGAGACGTTTGGACCGTTTCGAAACCATTGATTACGGCCAGGCGGGGATGTGGAGTTGCTGTTTTTAACAACAAAATTTACGTCGTTGGTGGGTCCGATGGGACTCACGTTTTGAATACTACGGAAGTTTTTGATGTTGAAAGTAAAATGTGGGAAGTTGGACCTACTTTAACAGTTCCAAGAGTAAATGTTGAAATTGCTGTTGTTGGGGATAGATTGTATGCTGTTGGAGGCTTTTCTGGAAAAAGCTTTTTAAATACAATTGAATACTTGGATCCCATAACTGATGAATGGACAACATTTATTCCAAGGAAATTAGAAGATGGTGAAATTAAAATGGAAAGAAATGGTTTGTATGAAGATAAAATGGGGCCAGCAGTAATTGACTGCATAGATTAAGAGTTAATTGTATATTAATAACTTAACTATATCTAACTAGTTTTTTGTGGATGCTCTGGAAAAAAAAACTTGAAAAGAATATTAAATATTAACCACCACATAGAATTAAAAAATATGTGTATCCATCATTTTCATTGTCATTCATTAGAACAGATTATCCTAAAAGAAAGCATTTCTTTATAAAAATATGGTGTCTATCATTAATGATTAAGATAACTATACGACATAGCGTGAAAAATTTATCTCCACACAAATATTGGATACACTATTGGTTAGATTTTTTTTTCAATTTAATCAAGATCCGTATTCACAGAAATTGAAAAGGCTGGTTTAATTAAAACATCGTTGTTCCACTATGTCCAAGAATTTAAAGCGACATCTTATATAAATATATAAAAAAATATATATTCCTTCTGATAAAATGATATATTTTCAATACTTTTTGACACTTGCAATAAACAATAAATTATTAAAAAAAAATGTATTAAATTAAGTATAATATAATGAGGTTATCAGAAAATGTCTCTGATCTATATACAATATTGCAGTTGAAAAAAAGAAATGTAAGGAATTATTCAGTATTTCTAATCCTTTTTGGATTAAATTTAATTATTTTTTTTTGTTTCCCATAAAAATACATATGCTAATGAAAACGCGGAATTTGTAAGTTAAGATTATAAAAATAAAGACACCTCTAATATTATTTAAAAGGGGGCATTAGCCTATGTGTTGAAATAAGTTCTGTTTCAATATCGAATTAATTATAATATAGTTATTAATTTTTTTTTCATTTTCTTTGTTGTTAGTTTTGTTTACTTTTCGTTTTAATTTGTATTAATTAATGTGTTTTTCGATGAGGCTGATTTATTGTAATCAATATTGAATAAATATTTACATTTAAGAAATTATTTTTATTTCATTTTTTTAGTACTCTTCAAAAAAATTAATTTAGAATATTTATCATAAAGTATTGATGAGTTTTATTGCTTTATACAGTGTCTATCAAAAAGTTACACTCTGTTCTTTTTGGTTTTATTATTACAGAAAGTACACTACATGTAAATAATTCACTATATATTGGGGATTTTAATATATGTTTATTGGAGAATAATAATAACTGCTTAGACTACATGGAAACATTGAAAACTAATGGGTATAAAATTTTGAACAAAGTAAGTGAATTAAATCCCACTAGAATTGATCAGCGAATAAAATCTATATTGGATCATATTTTTACTAACTTTAAACAGCACTAGAGTTACGATGTTAATATGTTTGATCATTTCGTCTCTGACCATTAATTGACATAAAACTTACTATAGATATGACTAAGATAACAAAGCAGTCGTATGAATCAAAAATAGTAAACTACGATGGATTAAAGCAAAATGTTGCAATTGTGTTGAACTCTAAAACATTGAAATGGATTCTTTGCTTGGCGTTTTTCAAGCGGAAATTGGTAAAGTCACGAATACATCTGTAAGACGTACAACAAACGTAAGTGAGGGATGATTCACTACAGCAGTCAAGAATAAAATAAAAGAAAGAGATAAAGCGTATATTAGGACGAAGCGTTTTCCTGGAAGTGAATTATACTGGTGTCATTTTGTCAAATTACGGAAAGAAGTCAAAAACCTTATTAGAAGGAACATATGGATACAAAATTTCAGAATACTGTTGGATGCCCGAAAGCAGTGGCGTATTATTAAGAATGCCTTGTCGATTGATATAGAAAATAAACGGATTCCTAAGATTGTAAGCAGTAAGGGAGTGATCACTTCATCTTCGGTGTAGACAGGTTGCTTGCGGGAAAGCCGGCCGCCAATGTCAGCTTGGATTATGGGATAGATTTCTCAATGTACAGGGTGGTTCAAATTCGACGTCCGAATAGGCTATCTCGGAAACTATAAGAGCTAGAAAAAAAGTAGCTTACATGTCTTGATCTCTTTTTTTAAATAAGTTCCAATGTCGAAAACCTCAAAACGCTATCGTCTTTTGTTTTTCCCCTAGAGGTCAAAATTGAAAATATCGTAAAACCAGCAAGTGCAATTATCTTGGTTATTATTATAGCTGGAGTATTATAACTAAGACATTATATGGACACTTTTTTACAGAGAATTTGATGACGTAGTCAAATAATTTTTTCGGTTTTAGATTTTGAGATATTATCACAATGTTCGTTTTTTTAAATGGAAACAACCACTGATTATTCGCTTATTAAATTCGTTATTTTTTTCTGATTATAAAAATATAGGGTTTGACAGGTCTATTTCTTATTGTTTTAGAATAAAGCTAAAAATTAACTTTTCTTTTAGTGTCTTCCAAGAAATTAAATTTACAGTTTCCTGTAAATTACGGTACTATAATTAAAAATTAAAAAAATATATTTCTGATATTTGAAACACATATATTTGTTGAACTATTTAATTTATATATGTAATTATTCAAAAGTTGGAATAGGTTGCATTATTTCACATTTTTTATTAATATTTCATATTATTCTTAAATGACTTAATAAATTATTGATAGATGGCGCCATTTGTTTGTATTAAAACATTTTCTGATGTGTCATTTTAAAAGTCCTGTTTTTAAGATGAATTACGAAAATTTTGAAAAGTTTAACATGTGAGAATGTTATATATTAAAAAAATTATTTGTTTTTAAATACCAGAAATTATCTTCTTATTTAATTATTAAATTAAAAAGCTAAAAATAAATTTTTTTTTAGTGTCGTCAAAGAAATTAAATTTACAGTTTCCTGTAACTATAACTAAAAATTATTCTACTAAAAATTTATATAAAATTTACTTTATTTTCTAATATGTAACATTCTAACATGTTAAACTTTTCGTAATTTTCGTAATCCATCTTAAAAAACAGGATTTTTAATTTGACACTTCAGAAAATTTTTGAATACAAACAAATGTTGCT